ACAAAGAAGGAAACTGATCCTTTAGAGGGGCATTCCCCACCCAAGTTTGTTCCCATAATTTTAATGAGTTACCAGAATTCAGATCATACCTGATATTGGGGGAGAATGCTGGAAGCAGATCATGAATGGCTTTCCAAGGAGAAAAGCTTGTGGTCCTAGCTTTGATTCCAGCATCCCAACCATTGTGCTCCAGTGCATGTATACTTGCCACTATTCTAGCCCATAGCTTCTCCTTCTCCAAGGGGAACCTCCACAACCACTTCCCTAGAAGAGCCATAATCCTTCTTCTAACATTCCCGAGCCCCAAACCACCACAAGTTTTACTCTTGGACGCTACCTCCCAGCTGACTCTATGATCCCTCTTCTCCTCTCCCGGCTTCCACAAGAAGTCTCTTATCAACTTCTCCAACCTGTTAGATACCTTCACTGGGATTTTGAACACAGACAGGAAGTAGATGGGTAAATTAGCAAGCGTGGCCTTAATTAGTGTAACTCTTCCACCAAGAGAGAGGTAATTCTTTTTCCAAGAGACCAATCTTTTTTCAAACCTTTCCACCACCGGGTTCCAAAAGCTCTCCCTCATAGGGTTGTCACCTAATGGTAACCCTAAGTAATTCAATGGCCACCCTGACACTTTACACCCCAACACTTCTGCACTCTCCCTGATGTGCCTGCCGGAATAGGGGATTCATGAAACTCTGATGGACATTGTATGGGTAATCCTGAACCTTTAGGAATAGGAGGTGTATTCAGAGATGAGAGAGGTATTGTTATAGCACTTTACTCAGGACCAGTAGGGGAAGGAGATTCCCCCAGAGTAGAGGTGTTGGCAGCAATGGAAGGAATACAAAGAGCAGCTTTGTTAAACATCAGAAAATTAGTAATTGAGGGAGATTCCAAGCTGGTGGTGAGCTGGTTGCGATGCAATGATCAAAGGATGTGGATTTTTAACTCTCTAAAGAAGAAATTCAAATGGTTAACAAAAGTAGCGGTCTGCTAACTCTATGGCAGATAGTTTAGCCAAGCAAGGGGCGGAGCGGGAGAATATTTTCTGGGCAATGCTGTAGCACTTATAGGTTGTGGGGGAGAGACAAGTCTGTTTTTCTCTCAATGTCTGTGTATATTGTACATCTTGTATCTATCTTTAAATCATTAATATAAATCTTGTTGTTATTGATAAAAAAAAACCTGTACCAGGTTTGTATAGGTTTCCCTACCCCTCCCTTCTTTTCCCTACCTTTTCTTTCAAACTGAACACAGCCTAAGGGATCATCTATTCTGGTGGAAAGTTCCAATGGGGAACTTATTTTAATATGATATAATGGGCTTGTAGGATGGTCTACTTTGAGACATAGAGTGCACAGTCGCTGTACAATATTCATTCTTTTATAAAAAACTTTGATTGCCAAAGAAAAGGACATAGCAGGGTGTGATTTTTATATTGAAACCTCTAGTGGAGGGGTGGCATAGGAGAATTGCTGGATTCTGACAGATGGATGTGAACCCAGAAGCTTGGGAATTCCCAAACTGACATTTTTGAGGAGGATGACACCTCTCTTCTGTTCTGGGGAAAGATGATTCCCCCCTAGTCTATAGCTCTGAACCTTACTTTTTGGATTGCATGGTTGCACCTGCTGTTGGGGGTATTGTGTTTGTTTTTTGATAAATAAATAGAACCTTTTATTAATTTGGAAATATTAGCACATACAAGCAGCCCTTGGAGAGGTGCGATCTGTGATCTCTCCACTAAAGAAGAAAACAAAAGCAATAAGTTACAGTTGTTCCCAATACATAACTTCCCTAGCTGCCCCTTGCTTGGCTAGACAGTCAATGTAGGGATGTTAATTCAAGGTAGGTGGGAGAGTCAATGTAGGGATGGAACATGTGCTGGAAACCTTGGGAACTTAGTTGGTGGAATCCTCCTCCCCTGAGACTACACCTTTAGGCTCCAGATCTATGTGGAGAAGAACAGAACTACTCCATTTTTCGGGTCTAAACATCGATAAACCCAGCTCCAATAGGAGAACTAGGTGGAATACATAGGCTGGCAAAAGAACTAGAAAGGTGGGATTGAACCGTTGAAGATCTATGGGGATTTGGGAGTGCTAGAAAGATAAATGTCAGTAACGTTGTTGTCAAGGTGTCTAGGAGATTCTGGGCGACAGTGGGGTGCTTGGTCGCCTAGTTGTCTAGGCGACACCTAGGTGATAAGAATTTCATTAGAAAAATTAAATTTTGCTTAATTCCCTAGTTTTATATGCCATTCAGCATGAACATTTTAACTGAAAAAATAGCGGTTTTCTTGTTAAGAACATTAAGTCCTCAAAACATGGCAAATCATCATACCTAGGACAATAGTATTAGAGATTTATCAATTTCAATATTTTCAAAAACAATAGTAATATAATAAATATTTAATAGAGCAATTTCATATCAAATAAGCACTAAAGAAGGCTATAATTTTATATGATAAAATTCAAAATAGAAAGTAATAGAGAAAAAGAACAAGGCTAGAGCTTCTATTTTATTTAATGTAAGATAGAGGGAGAGAGAACAAAAAAGAATCTATTCGGCTATTAGCATGCATATTAATAGCATATAGCAAGAGTGATATTATAATAATGTGCCTGCCTTGTCATTTTTGTCACCTTGTTGCCTAGGCGGGCGCCCTATTGCTGTAAGTAAAGGTGTTTTTTTGAGGCACCCTTGGCTGGGTGCTTAATCGACGCCTAGGCAATGCCTTGACAACTATGGTCACTAAAGTTTTGCTAGAGTGGAGTTGAAAATTTTGACTCTAAATGAATTTTCAGCACCTGATCTGCTGGACAGAAAGGATGGGCTTATGCTCCTTATATTGTTACCTCAGGAGGTTAAAAATGTGGCTTACTACAAGACATATCCGTAGAGCAAGAATAGGGCTCGAGTTACTGTTCACTCAATTTGATGCCTAAATCAGTCATGATCCTTTTCTTCTACTTTAAGTGTGATTTTTGAAGACACTTAAATTGATAATTAAAATAAAAAACATGGGTCTTTTAAAACACTTAAAACTTTTTAAAACTTAGTGTAGGCGCACATCATCCTTGGCAGCAACACTATTGAATAACCCTTATACCTGAATCCCATGGGTAAATAGAAAGGTGATTCCAAATCTTTATAATCACAAATAAATCCTCTAATACTGAAAGGCTAGAAACATGAAAAAATGAACCTCAATGACTATCAAATAGAAGGTTCATTTAGGGCTTTTGCTTCCAAATTGGGTTTCTCTTTATTACCACTTTGCCTAGACTAGCCGTACCTGTCATTGTTGGAAGCATTGGAAAAATTAGTGGAGAGGTTATTTTTTTGATCAGCAGGAGATGATTATTTTATTAAAATTAATTAAAGCTGTAACATTACAATATGATGACTAAGATGTCATCCCCAAGATTTTTCAAGCTACAGTTACGGAGGATTCCCAAAAAAGCTAATAGGTTCCCAACAAGCCAAAGTACATCAGTTTACAATATTATTGGAGAGGTTATTGATCGAGTGAAGGAGGAAAATGAGGAGACAGTTATTGATTGAGTGAGAAAAATACAAGAAAAGGTGGACTTGGAATTTGGAAAAATAGTAGAAACTGAAGTCCAAGTAAGTTATTAGCAAGGTTCAAAATATCGATACGCCCGAGACACCCCTATCGGCGTATCGGGCGATTCAATACCTTTTTTTTTTACTTTTTTTATTTTTTTATTTTTTTATTTCGAAATTGGTTCAGGGGGGTCAGTTTAGGGCTCCTCCACCCCCTGAACTGGTCAGACCCCTGATACACCCACTATGGGGGCGTATCGGAGGGGTCTCGGAACGATATGTATCGACCGATACATGTCGATACTTTGAACCTTGGTTATTTGGAGTATATGTTTTAGGAGGGGAAAAAAAGGATACCCGCTGAATGAAGATTAACTTTAAAGGGGAGAATTGATTGGTAAAATTTTTAGGACTGTGGTTGGTTTGGGGAGAGTAGGGGGGAAGGGGGATAGCTGGGCTTTGTAGTATCTCGGGTTATGGAAGTTGCTTTTTGTTTCGTTTGTAAGGGTTGGGGAAATTTTGGATGTATTGGTAGGGTTGGAGGGTTTGTTGGGCTAGGTCTTGGGTTTGACTTGTATCGGTGATATCTTATCACGTTTCCTTTATTTCTTTCCAAAAAATATGTACAAATTTCATTTACAAATGTATACATACATATTTTATACATATATGAATTTATAATTAGAAAGAATATATTTTTATATGAAATATAATACATATATGTATGTATTTGCTCAGGTGGTCTGAGGTTGGGGTCAGGCTACCTGAGGTCTCAACCAAAGCCCTACCCAACTTTAGGTCAGGCCTGAATTTTCTGGCCTAGGCCCAATCCATGCAGAAATATGAAAAACTCGGGTTGGGTCAGGTCATGCTTGGGTTGAGCCCACCCAAGTTGCACCCTTACCTCCCGACCCCCTTTTCTTGCAAAATTCATGGATTTGCGTATAGAATGCTATACATTGGGAGTGATGTTGTGAATTTATTGGAGTTCTGGTTTTGATTAGTTGGAACATTGTCAGCTTGGTAAGGTCCCAAAGAAGTCCCAAAGAAGTTTCTGTATTGATGTTAAAGAAGACGAAAACTAAAACAACAGGAATATTAGTGCATTGCAGACTAAGTTGCTCATGTGGGACTATTCTCCATTCACACAAAGGCCAAGGAATCTATATATTTCTTATCTGAGTCTTGAGTATTAAGTAAATAAAAGTGTACTTAAAGATATCTATCTTTCTAATAGAGAGGATGCTTAGTAAACTAATGTAAAGCAAAAGCTGTACTAAAAACCCCTTTTAGTGTCTCACAAGATCCTCCTATTTTGCTATATATGTATTACATATGTATGCATGTGTACTTGCAAATGTTTATGTGCTTAGCTATGAAGTATGTTGATCAATTTGTAAACTCTCATAAGATGTTCTCAAATGTAGGAACACTGGATGAACACATGCATCTACTTCTTCCTGCACTTATACGTTTATTTAAGGTTGATGCTTCAGTGGATATACGCCGTGCTGCTATTAAGACACTTACAAGGTTGATTCCAAGCGTGCAGGTTAGTGAAGAGCCTTTTGTTTATGTCTTTATGTGGGATTCAACCAATATCTAATAATGGTACTTGTTTTGCTTTGTGTTTTATTTTTATTCTCTTTTCAGGTCACTGGTCACGTATCATCTCTGGTGCATCATTTGAAGCTTGTCTTGGATGGGTCAGTTATACCTACATATATGGCTATATGCACAGACATAATTAAACACTGATTTGCCAGTCTTGAATTCTATGTTTCCTTTGTTTTGTGGTTTTTGTCCATAAAAATGATGTCATGTTTATATTTATGTATATAAAAAGGAAATTTAAGACTCAGAAAGGATATACCATCTTCAAAATGTAAAATCTCTATCCAAAAAGATCTGGAAGGTCCAAGACATGTTAACAGCAAGTAAGAGTATAACTCTAATTGAGTTTGTCTTAGCTACCAGGGGCAGTGTGAAAGTTTCTTGGTGGTCCATACCATGAGTTTGTGTGTACTCTTTAGCCACAAACCTTGCTTAATTGTGAAAATCTAATTGCATTTTAGTAGCCTTGTACTGCTTGGGAAATCACCTACTTTCCAGGTATATTCTTTCATTTTGGACAATTCAAGGGCTTCTGCAACACTGAAAGGAACAGAAACACTTGAAAGAGAAGAAGTAAAAGGACATAGTTTTCATATCTTTTCATCTGAGCTGAGATGAACCAGTATGGAAAGAAAGGTAAGAGAGAAAGCAGAAAATAGAGAAGTGGGAAAGAAATAAAAGATTGTGGGATTAAGGTTTACATGATGCCCTACAACTTAAAAGAATATAAAGATTAGCATACCCCTAATAAATGACCTTTATTAGATCGACAAAAATACAGGGTTCACTTGCCTTAAACAGAAAATATTAACTCCTTGGTAGTTCGGCATTTTGCATGTGCAAATAGGGAAGTTTGTAAATTTCTCTCAGTTATCTGAAAATCTGAAATTGGGAGATTTAAAAAATAAAAAAGGGAATTTATTTATAAAATTTCAAGAAATTCTAAAAGAAGGTATAATAAAACACTTAAAATCTAAATAAAAATAACAACCCACTATATTTTTATCATGCAAGGTGAGGATCCTTCAAAACGAAATTTTAAGGATGACAAAATGCTAACTCCACTTAGAGGTACTCTATCTTAATCGTGACAAAATGCTCAGATACATCTATTGCATGAAATAAAGGTATCAGGATTTATTGATTCTAGACCCTGGAATGAACAACTTGAATTAGATTTTCCAAATATAAAGCACTTTTAAAAAAATTGGTTAGATCATTAATTTAAGAATACCTAATTCAAATTATTCACTCAAAGTTCTAGAATCAATAAATCCTATTATGTTTTCTTAATTTCATGCAAAACATGTGGTTTGAGCATTTTCTCTGCCTCATGATTGTTTCCAATTTATTCTTGTAAACTAGTTAATTTTTACATTTTTCTCCTTAGGGTGATAGGAAATGTCACAGTGTTTCAGAAAAATTGCAAACCATTTGTACAATTATGCTTGTTGTTATGAATTGCAGTTGATGGATGCAGATCAAATCACTATGAATGTCAGAATTACTTTGGCTGAAAGAAGCTGACTGGATGGGAATATTAGCTGTAAAGTTTCTTTTGTATACATGTAAAGTTTCTTTTGTTGTCCTTCAGAGGACTCTGAAGGAAGCTGTAAAGTAGAAACATGAGGTCCCAAAATAGACATAGAAAGTGAAACAATAGGCCACGATGGAATTATATATATGTTTACCACCAAGCTTAATTTGTTGTTTCCTCTTCAAGGGAAGATGAATGGGATAAGGTTGAGGGTAGGGAGGGAGAAGTGGTGGGAATGAATGCAAAAGGCTATCTTAGACCACTTGCCTTCCTGCCTATAGTGTGGAATGAACTCAAATCTAGAACCTACTCGGCGATTCACTTGATATTGCCTAGGAATCATTGCCTATCAAAGTGTAGGGCTTTACACTATCACATGATCAACCTTGATTCACCACAAGAAACTCCAACACAACAAACGATCAATATAGGATCACAACCACAAGAATGGAATGGCAAAGCAACCATATAGTTGCTACAAGGCTTTAGATGATGATGATGAATCCCAAGGTATAGCATGATAACAACAATTGCACACTTTCAGATAAAACAACCATTTATGTAAAAATAAGGCCTGGACGGTGATTAAGGACTAGGAAATTCACTGTCAAGACTATATAGGAAATAAGAAAATTAAGGACTAGGAAATTTACTGTTAGTGGGGCCCGCCTGCTTTAACACAAATGTTTCATTCTTAAATAATTTTCCGAAGAAAAATTGGAGAAAATTTTTGGAATCTTGAAATTTTGTAGTCTGCTCAATCCACTTTCTCATGCTAGTGTAGGGGCCTACTTTCTCATGCTAGTTGAGGGAGCAGTGAGATGAGGGTGGGATCAACCCCTATTGGCATGGGAGATTCTTTGAGAGGTGAAATTTTTGCTATTATGGAAGGAATTCAGAAAGCCAAGGAATTAAATATTTATACACTGATAATTGAAGGGGACTCAATGCTCGTTATTAGCTGGCTTCAAAAGGAGGAGGGGATGGGATGGTGAGATTACACCAATGAAAAAAGGAAGCTCATGTGTTTGGCTAAACAATGGGTGGGAAGAGGTAATGTTTGTTGGGCTACGTTGTAACTTCTTTTATTTGCTGGCCAATGCTAAGAGAGTTTATCTCCCCTCTTCTGTTTGTACTTCTTTGATAAAATTTATTCAATTATTGATAAAAAAAAAGATGTCAGCTGAGGGTGAGGGCCTTGACTTTGTGGCACTTAATTATCCTTTTGCAACTATAGCAAAGATGGATCCTGAGGTTGGTGAATTCACCGGAGGATAGCTTCACTAGGAGTGGATTTCAGATAAGCTAAATGTAGATGTTGCCGCTCATATGTATGGGCACCCCCTATTTAAGGAGAAATGATGTATATCCAATAAATGGAGCTAGAGAAATATTTTTTAACTGCCCATATGAGCTAGTGAAGAGTGAACTCGCATCTGCTGCATCGGGCATTGCCCCAAATTTGGAGTGACCGCCAGTGCAATACGATCATGCCAGTGTTTTGAAAAAAAAAACAAAATATCACATCAACTGAATTTCTGATAAAAAACACTGGTGTGTTCACATTTCATTGGGGTCGCTCCAAATTTGGAGTGACACTTGATGCAGCAGATCAAGGTTCAAAGTATCGATACGTCCCAATACCGTGGAAGGGGTGTATCAGTTTTTTTTTTTTTTTTTTTTTTTAAAAATAAGAAATAGGGGAAGGTCTTAGGCCTGCCTACCCCCTGAAATGGGTCAAACCCTCATAGTGATGCCTATTGAGGAAGTGCAATATCTATCATTGGATGGAAACATAATATGCTTGGGATCTTACATTTTGAATATTTGACTCTTTTCAAAAGCTATCTGATTGGAATTATTTTCTATTATCTTGTCCACTACTCAGGATTTGGCCATTTGGGTTTAAGTCTATTCTTACGATCTGATTTTATAAGATTCCAATCCAACAGTTATCCCACAAGTTTTCTTATCTTAGGTGTTTTCTTATCAGATTATAAGAGGGACAACAGAGCTGAACCTTTTTTGGTGGAAAAAAGAAAAGATGCCCTTACATCACATGTAAACATGGATGTAATGATAAACTTATCTGCTACATCAATTAATAAATACTAGATTATGCCACTTGACTTACATGTGAAAGGAATTTGGGAAATTTTAAATTTTAAGTCAGATACATTGTATGACTTTTACCCAACCTAATAAGTCATCTAGATTTACCCAATGGATATCCTAACCCATTTCCTTTTAAATACTTTTTTTCTCATAAAAGGACTTTCATAGTTGATGCAAATACAATACAATACTGTAAAAGTCGTTCAGTCGATCTGTTTTCATAGATAGAGAAGAGAGAAAGAGAGGGAGAGAAGAAGAAGAAGAGAGGAGAAAGGAGTATCGAACTGAGAAGTCAAAGAGACTCTCCCAGCTGACCATATATTTATATACCAAAACTGTGTACAAAGGCAACTATGCCCCCACTAAAATACCCTTCCTTAGCCGACTCTTACACTCCCTCTCAAGCTGGAGAATATATCTCATATAGTCCCACCTTGTTACATATATAGCTCACTCTTCCCGAACTCAACCCTTTTGTGAACATATCTGCCCACTGATCACCTGTTCTCACATGCTCTATGCTTATGACACCATTGAGGACTTTTTCCCTTACAAAATGGCAATCTACCTCTATGTGCTTAGTTCTCTCATGAAAGACTAGATTGGATGGGATGGAATTGCAACTTGGTTGTCACAATATAGCTTCATGGGTTTGCTTGTTGAGAACCCAATTTCCTGCAAAAGATTTTTCAGCCACACTAGTTCACATGTAGTGTGTGCCATGGCCCTGTATTCTGCTTTTGCACTGCTCCTTGCTACAACTGTTTGCTTTTTGCTCTTCCATGTCACTAGATTTCCTCCAAGAAAGGTGCAATAACCTATAGTGGATCTCCTATCCGATACTGAGCCTGCCCAATCTGCGTCTGTATAGCCAATCTGCGTCTGCAATAACCCAAGGCTTGGAGCCCCCTTCAAATAACACACAATTCTAAGAACTGCGTCCCGGTGAGGAACTCAAGGGCTTTGCATAAATTGGCTTACCACACTGACAACAAATGAGATATCAGGTCTAGTGATAGTTAGGTAATTCAGTTTTCCCACTAGCCTTCTATACCTTGTGGGATTATCAAATAACTCACCTATATCACTGCCCAACTTGGCATTCAGTTCCATGGGAGTTTCAATTGGTTTATCACCTAATAGTCCTGTTTCTTCCAATAGGTCAAGAACATATTTCCTCTGATATAGGTTTATGCCTTGCTTTGATCTAGCAACTTCTATACCCAAGAAATACTTCAACTTCCCAAGATCTTTTGTCTGAAAGTGATCTTGAAGAAAGGCGTTCAGTCTATCAATCCCAAGTCTATCACTGCCAGTGATGACTATGTCATCCACATAAACTACTAGCAAGATCTTCTCGGCTTCAGAGTCATAGCTAAATACTGAGTGGTCAACTTGACATTGTCTCATTCCGAACTCCTTCACTACACTAAATTTGCC